ATAGCACAGTGTCCTCCATTCGACCTTGAGTCTTAACACGAATAACCGAACTACAAATTCCGAAGTTAAAACTATCCCAGTTTAAAGACGTGTCAGTTTTAAGACTGCAGTAGTTGTAGTGCAGATGAATGCAGAAGGAATTGCTTATCGGTACATGTAATATCCTAGTTACAGAGGAGACCTTTGCCCAAAGGTGACTTATTTAGGCTGTTACTTTAATAATTTTTTACAAGTTATAGGGTGCTAAGGAATCTCTCTGAATGGCCGGTACGGTGTGAAAGCTTATTAAGATATGGCGGACAACGGTGCGATGATTGATGCGCGCTACACAAAAGGCAACGTGCCATTGTGAGGTCAAATGACGGGCCCTTTGTTTGGTGCTATCCTGTGCACTTATTTAATATAAAAAAACCGGTTCCCCTAATGCGGTCAATTAATCAATGCTTGGGCTGATGCGATTTTCAACAACGCTTCTATCAGGTTTACTTATATGTTGAATTATAAAAAAAATAAAGCTTTCAAATATTTAAAAACTAGCAATTTAAACGATTGCTAGTTTTTGCAGCTTCGCACAAGCAGAGATTGTTGTATATGTGTCTGTAATTAATTTTTATATGAAAGTGAAGTTGATTGAACTTTACTGAATGAATTTTCGGAAAGCATGATGATTTGCAACATGCGTAACAATAAAACAAAATAATTTTATAATTACGACATTGGATTCTTATTGGGGTTGTCGGCTTATGCTGTAGAAGAATCTATTTTTACCGATTGTAATTAGGAGCAAATCCTGTATTGGCATACTTGAAATGATTGAAGAAAAGTTAATAAATCACCATCCATCCGTCACAAATATTACTTGTAAGAACTGTTTGTAACCACAATTATAATGAAAGTAACACAGAAGGTCAATCAGAAACTTGACACCATTTTTGGCAATGTTTATGGGGCAACAGATTAAGAGCATTTTTCTTGTATACAAGAAGGGGGCAAGCTACTAGGCGGTTCACATGATGTTAAGTGATACCGTGGCCTGTGGGGTAGCACGAGGGTCGGCAACTTTTAAAATAGTGACCTCACGCAACTAAACGAAAAAGTATAGTATTACCACTAGGCTAGTCTACTCTTAGGGCGTGGTACTTTTTTGGAGCTTGTCTATGCATCAGCAGGAGCTATTCAGTTAAATTTGTTATTCAGTTAAATTGGAAATAATAAAAAATTAAGAATTATACATTTTTATGTATGTTGTATGGTTCAGTATGTACATTTTCTGTGAATAATTAAAAAGTAATTTTTTGATTACGATATGCTTCAAGTGTGTCAGAGTTATTTCTCAGTTCTAAAGTTAATGATGCATTTATCATTATACCTTATTTAAATTCTAATGTCTCACTCAAATAAATACTAATAAATATTGAATTGCTTTCTCACATTTGTTTTGATCTACGTCTATAACAACTATATCACAGAGTTGGCTCCCTACCCAAAAATGTTAAACTGCCTTCATAGTGCCAGCCGGTTTAATAAATAAAACAAACTTGACCGTATCTAAAACGACATCTACAGTTTCACAAAAAAAACATGTCTCAAATTTAACACTACATGGTCACTCATTCGTCCATCCGTATATCGGCCATTCTAAAAGCGTCACAACAACAAAAAACGCGTATCCATATCAAATCGTTTTGTGCAACAATCAGATCAAAACATTTGGTAGCATCACCGGCATGGACCCCTTACCACTAAAGAGTTTAAACACGGCGGGTTCAAAACTGGAAAAAAGCCCACCCCGTTCTAACTGCGACTAAAGCGATTAAGTACAAAAGGTCGGAGAACAGTTAGTTTTTGTGTCATCCCTATTCTCTCGAGAGCTAATCTCGAGATGACGACGAGATTTCTCACCTTTGCCATTATTTCCTCGACGAGCAAACGGTTTGTTGGGAGCTGGGGGTCAGGTAAGGGTGTAATGAGCCCCGAGGGTTGGATAGCACCTTGTCCTTTCCGGATCGTCACCCTATGAACGTTTTGTTTCGCTTTCTAATGTTTCGCGACTACACGCGGAAATGACCGACAGGAAGAAGAAATGCCGACCCCTTTTTGATAACCTTTTATGATAATGACATCAATATCAATTAGGTATGTATATCTAGAAAGTATAAGAATATGGATTTTCAATAATTGTCACCCATTCAGCATTAGTTTAATTATTATCATCGATTCTCACGTACGTTTTGAAATTAAGAATTTTTATGGCCTTTCTGAAATAAAAACATAGTTTCAGAGTTCGTTATATGTAATCATAATAATGTAATCATAATTTAAATTTCTAAGAAGCAATGGCGACATCTCTCGTTCGAATTATCGTTGTAAAACGATATTCGAAATTGTTTGTATGCTGGAAAGGATATAACAATAGATGCCCCAAGCATTGCTTCAAATGCTAAATAACAATGTAGAAAGAAGGCGTTAAGATTTTCGTCAGTGTGGCAATCAGCCGTTTAGCTTAATGGCTAGAGCGTTAGGCCGCAAATGCCGAAGACGTGGGTTCGATTCCCACAGCGGCGACAATCTTTTCGTACATTTCTACAAATTTAATAATCATAATATCTTTTAGGAAGCTGTCCGGATGCATGATGTCTTGGTTGACGGATAAATGGAGCGTATTTCTAGTTCAAATGTGAATCACGATAACTTAATGTGTGATCACTAAATACGAACGAACATATCTAGTTTTTATTTGTCCGATTAACGTGGTTTTAAGCGAGGGCCTGACCCGTGTAATGGCCGACCTCAGCGGGGGTCCACCGCCTTATGGGGCCTTGAACCTTCGCCCCGCAATGGCGGCTACGATAACGCGGGAAATCACATCGAGCGCGTGCCCTGTCTGACGACACCTGGCTACAACCTGCATCCGTTTTAAAGTATTTATAACTGACCTTCCTGCACCTTATTTTAGTATTTAACATGTATCTATTTATTTGTAAGGTGCCACTTATGCCTCACTCTTTAAAATGCACAAATGAACCTTATATCACGGATATATATTTATATGAATATGTATATAACTTTTATTTTAACTTAAAATTTAATTTGAAACTTTTTACACCTGCCTATTTTGTCTCTGCGTCGCCCATAGGTTGACTGGGAGAGAATGCCTTAGGCATTAAGTCCGCCTATACACAATGTAAATTTTTTTGTGTAAAAGTTTAAATAAATAAATATATAATTTGACCGAGCGATATTACAATTTTATGTAATCGCACATTCAAGCGTTATCGTATCACTAAGCATGTTTCTTTAATACACTGAGAATATTTTTCAAATGAGCTGAGATGTCATATAATTATTTTTTAATTTGCCTAAATCCATAAAAACATTATTTAGTCCAACAAGTCCACGAGCTCGATGCGCGCAAAACAAATCAATTATATACCATTTACAGGATTAAATCTATCTAAAATTACATATTTTCTAATAAACCTAATCCACGCGGCATGGTGCCAAGAACGCTAGCTGTATTTCCTCGCTAAATAGTTATGCTTAACCTTTGAGCGAGAAATCATTTTAAAAGTATTCTATACTGGCTTCGATGCCAACTGTACCTGACAATGATTGAATAAAATGTCTAGTATTGCTGTTATAAGCGCTTAGTTGTCATCATTATTTGCGCTTTTAGTCACCAACAACGCCGCTATAGTCCGAGGCCTTCCGACCTTGGCACCGTTTGGCAACTGGCCGTTTGGCCATATCAAAATTAAAGCGTCCTTAGGTCTTCAATTTAATGGCAAATAACTGTTTCTTATTATGTTTATCGTTTACCTAGTACCTATAATCCAACTTTGCTTGCCTAGTTTGTTATATTTAATTGGGTGAGCAAAGACAGTTTAACTATTGATGACCGAAAACGTCATTTCACGCCAAGCGGGACGCAGAGGTGACTAAGTGATTTTAATACAGACTAAGCCTTAGGAACAATAGATGAAAATACGAAAAACTGGGATTCGATTGCCAGGTCTCGACTAGGGACGCATCTAGCCACTGAGCTATCGCGCCTCAATCAATCATGCAATCAATCAGGCTGCCTCTAAACAATAAACGTCTGCTTTAATTCGACGTTAATAACCTGTTACCAGAGGACAGAAAACAGTTATTTAGAACGACGCCCTTGAGCGGACTAATGGTTCGCCGAGATTAATGAATTGACTAATTGCGTTCGCGACAACCGCCTTTAAAATTCAGTTTTTGCAACACTAATGCCTCTGCGATTATAACACATTCCGACGCAGGTCGCACTATACTGAAATTCAATTACTTTAGCCGTTTTACTGACGCCGTAATAATACACGAGCGCCTGCGCCTAATTGAGCGAATACCACGCATAGAGTATGTGGTACGGATGGTACGTCGAGCATGCAGTATGGGGTCGTAAAGCCCAGCATTTTACAGTACTGAATTTCTAATCTTCTGATTTGCTCTTATCCTAAAATCCCTTTTACCGTTTGCCTTGACGCAACGGGGGATCCTGTCAGGTCCTGTTTATGTGAGAGTTTTGCACGCTCTTAGGCGGTTCCGTTTTACGACTAAGGATTACCTCCGCTCAAAGACTGAAGAAAGATCCGTACCCACCGTATTTCAAGAAATAATTGGTTTGATTTAATTCGTAAAAAGCTCGTTGTCTCCGTCATTTCAGCATGTTCTAGCCCAATGTTGAACGCAGATCACGAAGCACGATCAATTACAGTGCAGAAACGAAAGTTTAAAGTACCAGGACAGCATAAGCAATGGTTAGTGCTAAACATATTAAAAATAATATTAACGTGGCTTAAATTACATAGTACTTACGGCCGTAGCGTAAATTACCGGCGAACAAAGAGAATATATTTAATAGGGAAGATAACAAATGTCTCAATATAGGCATGGCGGTTAAACCGTCGCGGTTAAAACGCCGATCGAACGACGGTTAGCGGTCCCTTCGGGGTAAAAAGTTTAATGCAACTCACCTTCTCTCCTCATGCCCATTTTGAGACATTTCCTCAGTCGGCAGTACTGGCACTGGTTCCTATGGTGCTGATCGATGGGACAGTTTCTGTTACCCCGGCAGGAGTATGTGAGGTTTCTCCGCACTGATCTCTTGAAAAACGATTTGCAACCTGCAGACGAAAATTTGGTGACGTCAGAGGTGGTTCTTCATTACGCGCAGTTACTGACCCCTGGCCATCGAGCAGATGGCCCAAGGGGTCCGTGGCGCGAATTATTAAGTGGGATTTGTATTGGGGGTACGCGAAGAATAGTTAGACTCTGGTATATATACAAATTTGTACATATAATAGTGAGCCGAATTGAGGTGTTGAATAATGAGGAACCATTTGATCCAGTTTATTTAGTGTGTTTCTTCTATGTTTAGGCCACAACTGATGGGCGAATTTTAAGGAAATTCATAATTCGGATAGCTCAAATACTGGATTATACAATTAACCCGTTCGATTCGTAGATGTGTTTACTTGAAACAAAAAAAAAATCAGGGCACACGGAAACCGTAGAAAAAATTGGTTTTAATACAGCAATGATATTTTATACTAAAATGTAGTATAAAATATCATTGTATACAGAGTCAAATTCAACAAGTCATTTAAAAAAAGGTGGTGCATGAAATAGAAAATGGAAATAAAAAATAAAAACGAAACAAAAACATTCTCTATATCCTTCAGAGCCATCAAAAGCACGTTACATAACAGCTAGCAGATAAATTATCAAAAAAAAAAAAACTCGTTAACGTTATTCAAAAACGGGCATTCATCTTCGGCTACGATTTGGTAGTCAGTGGAAGCGAACGTTAACTCTCCTCGTTATTACTTTAATACCATTTAATTGTATTACCAAAATCCAATATATCATCGTCTACTTAGCGGTTAATTCGACTATTTGTATGAACGATTCGATACGAATCGTATCTGTCGAACAATTAAAATACCAAACCAGCGATTTTAAAATGGGTACGTGTTTCTCATGAATATGTTATGCGCAAACATTAGTATAATAAATAGTAAGGATCTTTTTTTATTATGACAATATATCAATAAACATATATATATGACGTCAACGGAGCGATAAAATTTGGCGCGCAAAATCATATGCACATACGTTTGACGGCAATTTGCAAATCGACATTGCTCATATTAACACAAAATTTCTTTGCATTATTTAAAAGCTCTTTATAATAAAACAGTGCAATTTATACTTTGTTATTTTTTATGAACTTAATTTAATATGTCATATAATCTTAGTAGAAAGAACGTCTATACTCATGTCGAAGTAATTTAGTGTGCGGTACGAAACGAAGACACTATAAGAGACGGCGAAATAAACCGACGGGAGATATATGGTACATATTTTTACACGTTTTATTGGTACTGGTTCCGATTGTTGAAAGAATCCAGAATCAAACGTGGCCGGTGGTCGTAAAGGCGGAGACGTCGCCAACAATTCATTAGAATTAAAATTGTAATATTCAAATGACGTTAGAAGGTGCTTCGATGCTAATCTAAAAGGTGCGTTCACACTCGCGTGTTTGTCTGCGGTTAAGCGTCCGCCATTAGAGTTATTGTAATGATTCAGTGCGGGATAAATCTTGGAATGTGATACATCGAATGGGCTCAGTTTCAAGCAATTACTGCGGACATGTTTAACACGAACATTACGCCACGTTGACTATATTTTTATGGTAATGCTCAGTTTTACGATTGGACAAACTGTCTCGTGTAACCTTTAAAAAATTACCGCTTAGCTTTATTGTTGTCGAAAACCTGTTCAGAGACACCGACAAAGCGCGTCTTCTAGGTTTTCGCGTAACCGGCGTTAGTCTGAAAATTTATTAAACTAGACGCTGCTTGTTTTCAAGAACGTTTTAGTTATTATTATAAATAGTGTTTTTTTTTTGTGACCGTGTCGAAATTTTAATCGAGGATGAAGTTTTATTTTAGGTCCATAACAAAAAAAAATCGTTGTACTCGACTCCCGATCGTGGTGTGAGAAAACCTCAAAATAAAGACATGTCACTGATATTAGCATTCGTGACTTCCGTTTTCGAATAAGCATCCTAGGCCAATGAGCCGCATCGTCTGAATGGAATTGAGTGAAATTTGGAATCGAGACATCTATCTGATTGAGAGAAAATAAAATCATTACACACACCGTAAATGTGTCTCATTTCAAGAAATAATTATGCGGAAAGAATTTTTTTTATTGTGCTTATCTCTGCACTTAAGATTAAACATTAATATTTTTAGAAAAAGTACGAAGAAAAAAGTACGAAGACGTTAAGATTTTTGTCGGTGTGGCAATCAGCCGTTTAGCTTAGTGGCTAGAGCGTCAGGCCGCGAAAGCCGAAGACGTAGGTTCGATTCCCACAGCGGCGACAATCTTTTCGTACTTTTTCTACAAATTTTAGTATGCGGAAGGAGTTAAAAATGCAAAATCCGAAGTAAGAATAGACTATACCGTGAGTCTAAGTTTAAGTAAAATTTCCGCCGAGTTATCCGTTCCGGCGAAATGGGCGCGAAACCGAAACGCGTCGGCTTCCCGCCAACAATGCCGCCATGTTTCCCCGCTGCAATGCATTCCGGTACCGTTAGCAGAAGTGCCGCGTCGCAGATAGCGTCGCTTAGGCCGCGTGCACGCGTGGCGGTTTTTAATCGCGCCATCTCGCTGCACCTCATGATGCTTACGCTGAACGAAATGAAGATTCGAGATACCTTACTTCACTTGAGAATCCCGACACGCCTACTACCGTACAAGTTGGGCCGATTTGAAACGTGCCGAATTATTTTTTTAATATGAATCGTATTCATAGAAAAAAAAAATAATTCGTAGTAATAAAATAGTTAAGGATATTTGTTTGTCGATAATATTTACAAGTCGATGAATGTGTAAAGGCCAAGTGTGAAAGATGCTACTGAGGACAATATAATTCGAATAAAACGGATATCTACAGTAGCATGAAGTTATCATTACCTACCGTGGTAAGGCGTGACTATTAAGCGCACATAACACATAATGCGTCGCGAAAATCGTGTTTGAATATTTTCTGTAAGACGATGGCAAGCGGGGTTAGGTTGCAGATGTGTTCCCACCTTTGTGAGTGCCAAAGCGCCGGGGCCTGCCTCAATCACTATAGGAAACGCAGAAGTATAACGGTCTTCTGTTATGTCGTGGTACTTCCCCTGACGGACGTATCTATTCGTGCTACAGAAAGGACTGTTGCGTGGCTGTACCACATTTAAAATATAGGCCAGAACGGGCTCGGTAAGTAGACATTGGGACGCGCGGCGAACCTGAGCGTTGTAAGCGAGCGTTCTAGACGCGGCGGCTGAAACGCTGCACAATTCCGCCATGTCGCCGCTCTGCCAATTACCACTATCGCTGGGAACATCGACCCGCGCAAATTGTATTCGCGCTGATAACGCTCCATCGACGTGGCACCCGCGATTTTGGAACGCGGAACAATGGCTTGGGATTAGAAAGATAGAGACTCTAAATACACACGGGCGGCCACAATCTCGTGTTCACTCACGTCGCGAGGGAATGGTAGGGGAGGTTTTTGCAGCTGCAATTGAGCGCTGTAACGATACTACCTTACTTAATACTTTAAGAATGGTGAAATCCACATGTTAAGCTTGGAACGGGCCACACCTTGAAGTTAGTCACAGACTCAATAGGGACACGTACTAACAAAAGAGTTCAGTTCGTTCCAAATACAGTTATCGAGGATAACTGAATTTCAGTTATTTATTTATTTTTAATCTCTGCGTTTAAGATGAAACATTAAATTTTGTGTATAAAGCATCGCTTGGAATGTGAAAAAACAATGTAGATGAAAAAAGTTAAGATTTTCGTTGGTGTCGCAATCAGCCGTTTAGCTTAGTGGTTAAAGCGTCTGGGCGCGAATCCGGTAGACGTACGCTCGATTCTCGCAGCGGCGAAATACTTTTCGTCAATCATCCAAAAAGTTGGCCTTTTCATGTACATAAGTACTGCAAACCTTTAGTTTAGAAAATTACAGTTAGTATTGTTTTTATCGAGTGTGTTAATAAAACCTAAATATTAAAAAACAATTATTCTTCTGCGACATTAAATTAGATGCAAATGAGACAATTTTAGAAGGTCGTCGGTAATTTAATGTGGCGTTATAATCGCAATAGCGTTGGAATTTACCGTCTGGTTTGCAGTTAATGTCATTTATTATTTACCGCGTAATGTTATGGTTGTGTTAAAATTGTGGGTAATAGAAGCCTCTCGTAAAGCGAGATCCAAACCAAGTATAGTATCAAAATAATATGCATTCGAGAGTGTTCCATTGCCGCATAGAGTTTGGGAACTGATGATCTTAACCCAGACACTAACTGGTTACATGTTTTTAAAACGGTTTTGTTATTTTTTGTTTTTGAACAAAATCAAAAATCAAAAATCAAATCAAAATCAAAAATATATTTATTCACATACACGCTTGCGCGTTCTTATGAAATGTCAAAATTTTACATAAAAAATAATACGTTCGTAAGTTGCCACCGGTTCGGAAAGCAGTTTCTGTTGAGAAGAAACCGTCAAGAAACTCAACAGTTGCTCTTTTTTTAAAACGATTAGTTTACAATATAATAGAACAAGTATGTCTTATTTTAGCCTACGTGAGTATCAACTGTGTTAACCCCACACACTGGCGTCGTCAAGAGCCAATGAGCCGTGTCGAACCAATAGTCGTGAAGAACCAATCAAGAACAACCCTGACACTGAAATATGGCTACGTCCGTTGTGAACGCTATCAGTCAGATATTGAGGAGAAATTGATTTCGGTGTTTCGTCTCAGCGAAGAATGGTTGTCAACGCATCTTTAAGCATCACGTCCATGGGCGGCGGGGACAACTTTTCGCAAAAAAAAAAAAAACGTCCGTTGTGAACGCCATCAGTCAGATATTGAGGGGAAATTGATTTAGTGCTCAGCGAAGAACAACTCCAGAGATTGAATTAGAACCGAAACGCGCGAGATCGGTGATTAGCCGAGTCGTAATCAATCACCGGGCCGTAATTATTAACATTGATGGTGCGGACCCATTATTGAACCGAACATTGATTGGTCATCTCGCGTAAAAAAAAGTAT